GGTCTGGAATGGGGGACTGGAATGGGGGACTGGAATTGGGGTCTGGAATGGGGGCCTGGAATGGGGGTCTGGAATGGGGGACTGGAATGGGGGACTGGAATTGGGGTCTGGAATGGGGGCCTGGAATGGGGGTCTGGAATGGGGGACTGGAATGGGGGACTGGAATGGGGGCCTGGAATTGGGCCTGGAATGGGGGGCTGGAATGGGGGACTGGAATGGGGGACTGGAATGAGGGCCCTGAGCTCAGTTACAGCCTCACGCCCGACCCTGGCCCAGGCTCAGCTCAGCCCAGGCCCAGTCCAGCCCAGTCCAGCCCAGCCATTCCCAGTCCATCCCAGTCCATCCCAGTCTATCCCAGTCCGTCCCAGCCATTCCCAGTTCATTCCCGTCCATCCCAGCCATTCCCAGTCCATCTCAGCCATTCTGTCTGTCCCAGTCTGCCCCAGTCTATCCCAGTCCATCTCAGACCGTCCCAGTCTATCCCAGTCCAGCCCAGTCTGTCCCAATTGGTCCCAGTCCATCCTAGTCCACCCCAGTCTATCCCAGTCCATCTCAGACCGTCCCAGTCTATCCCAGTCCAGCCCAGTCCATTCCAATCGGTCCCAGTCCATCCCAGTCCACCCCAGTCTATCTCAGACCATCCCAGTCTATCCCAGTCTGTCCCAATTGGTCTCGGTCCATCTCAGTCTCTCCCTGTCAATCCCAGTTCATCCCAGTCTCTCCCAGCCAATCCCAGTTCATCCCAGTCTCTCCCAGCCATTCCCAGTCCGTCCCAGGCAGTCCCAGTCATTCCCAGTCCATCCCACTCTGTTCCATTCCACTCTGTTCCAGTCCATCCCAGCCCATCCCAGTCCATCCCAGTCAGTCCCAGTCTGTTCCAGTCTATCCCAGTCCATTCCAATCGGTCCCAGTCCATCCCAGCCCATCCCAGTCAGTCCCAGTCCGTTCCAGTCTATTCCAATCCATTCTAATCGGTCCCAGTCCATCCCAGTCTATCCCAGTCCATGCCAGTCTATCCAGTCCACCCCAGTCTATCCAGTCCACCCCAGTCCATCCCAGCCACTCCCAGTCCATCCCAGTCTATCCCAGCCCATCCCAGTCTGTCTCAGTCCATCCCAGGCCATCCCAGTCCACCCCAGTCCATCCCAATCCATCCCAGTCCATCTCAGTCCATCCCAGTCTATCCCAGCCATTCCAAATCTGTCCCAATCCATCCCAGTCCATCCCAGTCCATTCTAGTCCATCCCAACTCCTGGAGAACAAATCCCTCCTGGAATTCCCTGGGAGTGTCCCGGGTGGATCCAGCCGGGATGGTGGGGGGTGTCCCTGCCCACGGAAAGGTGGGATGGGTGGGATTTAAGGACCTTTCCCACCCAAACCATTCCAGGATTATTCCATGCTGACGAATATCCCGAGTGGGAAGGGACCCCCAAGGATCATCCAATCCCAATTCCTGCCCAGGACACCCCGAAATTCCCACCATGGACCGGGTGGGAATGTTTGCTCATCCCGAGCAGCCAATTCCATAAATCCGCCTGGGGAGAAAGCTCTGGATCGGGATGACGGGGTGGAGAACAAACATTCCCTGTTTTCCTGGCTCTCACTCCCGACATTTCCATTCCCAGAGCTCTTCCCTGGCCTGAGGCTCCTTCCAGACCCTGCATTCCCTGGAATTTCACTTTGATGAGTTTCCTTCCCTCTCTCATTTACCAGGAAAAGGCTGGGATCCCAAATTCCCAAACCCACAGTTCCAAACTGGGAATTTATCCCTTGGAACCACAGGCTGGAGCTGCCAAACCAATCCCACCTTCTCCCCGTGTCCCTGAACTCCCTGGAATTCCATTTGGATGGATTTCTTTCCATCTCTCATTAACCAGGAAGAGTTTGGGATCCCAAATTCCCAAACCCACAGTTCCAAACTGGGAATTTATCCCTTGGAACCACAGGCTGGAGCTGCCAAACCAATCCCACCTTCTCCCCGTGTCCCTGAACTCCCTGGAATTCCATTTGGATGGATTTCTTTCCATCTCTCATTAACCAGGAAGATGCTGGGATCCCAGATTCCCAAACCCACCATTCCAAACTGGGAATTTATCCCT